CCAAATTACTGCGTCTTAGCGCTGTTATCGCCTAACAGAAAACTGTGACTTTATTCTTGATATAGTATTTTAACTTGTATTTAAACATTCAAAAAATCTTACAACAAATTTTTCAAACAAGATGACTAATAATTTGGTTTTGAGATACACTTTTTTGTTTGCACACTGTTTCCTAAAGTATTAAATGCAATAAAAAACTAATATAACAACTACATAATAATGCAATTTGCAACTCCTACAATATGCTGTTTTTGTTTTAGACAGTTACACTTTTACATACAATTCTTTTTTTTTCAATAAAACAATGCCCAATAAGCATTAATAAATAAGGTTTTGATTCTACTACACAATTTCAGCAACTGAATAATTTGTCATTAACCATTTATATGAATGCTCAGGTACAACTGTATGTGTAATTACAGAACGCACATGCATTTTCTTTTTGTTTCTATTTAATACAATTCAAAAAATTGCATTACCGTTTCCAAATAACATCGAAAAAAAAACTTATTCGTGTCAGGCAATAAGTTTTTTATCTGAGAAGAACAAAAAAAAAACTTGATTTAATATGGAAAAGATGGAAAGAGTACGGTAATTGATGGATATATCCAAATCAACAGAGGTGTACATTAGGTCAACTATTGCGTAGGCGGATACGGATTACCCGCTGGTGGTTTTTGTGGGCGGAGCCGATGAAAAAGGATAAGCGTCGTTAGGAGAGGGAAATCAGTCAGTTCAGTTGTCCGCTGTGGTCAGAAACGGTTGATCACTGTTGTTGCTGCTCCCGCAATTAATTATCTTTACATAATTGTCTTCCAAGATTCATACTTTATTGTACTTTTTTCTTTTTTCCTTTTTTTGCCCTTATTTTTTCTCAAAATTGCACTTTATAAAACTACATTTGGTACCAATTTTTTTCAGTGTCAGATTGTTCTTTTCACTATAAACTTTGTTGTGAACACTGGTTTGTCCTTTTTTTTTTGTAATGCGTTTTTTTTTTCTCCTAACTGAAACCTTTCAGAACATTATAGTCTTTCTTAATGATGTTTGCGTTATGCGATAGTGGTTATTCAAGTCCTGTGTATTATTCTAGTCTCAATTCTTCCACTGTCCACTATTTGGAGGTTGAGTCACCGAATACTGCAATTGCAAAAGCCGCAAAACATTCACCATATGTGGGTTGTCGCCGTCTCCTGTTCCGAGCATCTCCAATAGTGGTCACTAAAGTTGACGCAGCAACACAGACGTCTTCTGGTATAATTTTTACATTTTGTATATAAATTTTAGTTTTTTGCTATTTTTTCAGAGTGCAATATTTACTTTTTCATTGCCATTTTTTACAGGTTACGAGGAGTCGTCAAAATCTATAGCCAGAAGACTTCGGCTGTTGGCGAACGAATTTGACACACAGTATTTTGCCTGTAAAGTATGTATTTTTACTTGGTAATTTTTAATAAATTTATTATATATATATATATATATATATATATATATATA